CAAACAGGTGCGACTGACGGAGAGCCTGCACAAAGAACTGGAAGCGGTTGAAACGATCTTTGCGAGACCTAGCTCTTCTGGCGCGTTTAGAGCCGGGGCAGCAGCGATCTTCGTGACCAGCTCTAACCCACCCATCAAAAGAATTCATCCACTTGAAGTCATCCTGGACTGCGCCTTAAAATTCTTCTTCACCAGATACACAATCATGTCATTTCATTCATTCAGCTAGTTCGATTTCTTGTGGTCATGAACATAGTTAGTTAAGCTACATATTTTACTCTAACTTGGAAAAAGATTAACTTCATTATAGGGATAACAGTAAGGTAACTCTCGGTAAGTTCAAGTATCCTTAGTTTAAAAAGCGCGTTGAGTGCAGACCACACACCACAAGTGACGACGGCCTCACAAAATGTAAATGTTTTCTGCCAATGAAATGATTAGCCTGTTGCAGTTGTATTCTATCAGTTGTCACTAATTACAACTATCATTTACCAAAATCAGCTATCACTATGAATCACTACTAACCAGATTTACTTGGAGGCCGTCGTCACTTGTGGTGTGTGGTCTGCACTCGACGCGTTTCTGGTTTTCTGAAACGGAGGGTAGATTCAGTACATTACACAATGAATGAGCGAACGACCAAATATCTAAATCTCATCGATGAGCGTCCACGATGACTCAGCATGTGCTCACCAACACCTCCAGAGATGCTTGGAAAACTCAATAGGTTGGCCAAGTGTACAGAATACTTCGACCAATACGACACCCTCCCACCGTCACCATGATCACGACCCCCTCTTCCTCTTTTCGTGCAACTGTCCATTTTCCTTACCCTCCCATACAGGTAATGGTATTCATTGTTTCATTGAACCTGGTATCCGTGGCACACTTCGAACCCCGCCCCCTTCGAAATAGATAATTGTAAACTAATTCTCGCCAGCTGACTCTTCTACTACTGCTCCCAAATATAAATATCATAAAACCCACAACCCCGACCCCTGTTCTGAAAAAAATAAAAAAGGGGTACCAAAAGGAGTGTACTTCCAAGTACGCGTGCTCTAAAAATGAAAACCTGCTAAAAATGACAAGGAATATTTCCTGAAAAGCTTGAATCCATAATAATTCCCTTCCCCTTCCTCGGCCGGAAGGTTCAGCAGACCTCACTACTCGCTGACCGACTGACCGTGATCAAGGCTGATCTGTTCCTCCATGACCACTAACAAGGAACGACAGAGCGCGAAATTGAAACCTCTGGGTCTTGAAGCATTGTTTTTACAGCCACCACCAATTCTCACCACCCCTCACTCCTCAAAAGACCCACCTGTTCTTATTGTCCGAATTGCTTTGAGGAATGTGTCTCGTAGAGGAGCCTTTTCATCGCCGTAATTTTCGGGCCACGTTTTCAGTATGAATAAACTCATCACTGCCAGGACCATCAGCGACAAGTCGAATGGTGCCTGAAATACAGAATTAGTATTTGCGGTCAAGGGCAGGCTTCAGGTTCAAAGGGAACTCACACGAATCCATAGGCATCGGCGGCAAACTGTGCGGCGACCCCAGACAGAATGGCGATCAACGAGTTCCCCAACGCTGCATGGGAGAAAATCGTGCCGAGGAGGTTCTCGGAGAAGCCTCGCTGAAGCAGTCATTCAAGAACAAGACCATAAAATTCTTCGTTAAAACTGATCGGATCAATTTCTGCATGTTTTCAATACAGCGGTAAATCCGAAATAACCTACTCCCGTTAGCCAAAAAAAAACAGGGTTTTCACTTTCGCACAACAAAAGCTCTTCCTGCACAGGTAAATATACCTATTTCCGGATTTTTCGACATTACCTTGTTGTGTTCGTAGACGAGCCAGCTTTCAAAGGCCGAGTACAGGATGCTGGTGGCAATTCCTCCAAGAAATCTGCCCACCATCAAGTATTTCTATGCTGGCAAAATGTTTCGTGATGCAAGAGCATCCATACAGTATCCCGTAGATCACACAATTATTCCGACGACCACTGAAATCTCGGCCAGATACTGTAGAGTTCCGAAAGAGATCGATGAATGCGTACTCACTTACAACTTATCGGCGAACGATCCGATCACTGTTCCAAACAGCAGGCTGGATCCAAAACCGGCGATGAACAACAGCTCGATTTGATGCTTGGACATGCCATAGGACTGGTAGAGAGCATAGACATGGGGTCCTTGTAGCCAGTCGCCCGCTGAAATCATCACATATTCGTATCCAGTCCATTACTGACCAAGAGCATGGAACCTCAAGATGCATATATCGATCAGTTTTAGGAATGCGCCATGCATTCAATCTCAATTTGGAATCCTGACATTTTAGGCATCTTGAGAGATATTTCGATATTTCATACATTAAAGTACGCTTATTCTTTTCCATAAGAAGAGAAGTTCCATGGTAAGAGATGAGCATGCGGTGCTTGCAAAAATTAATTCAAATTGACTTCATCTTAGGAATTCCGTCTCCTACAGAGAAACAGAAAAAAGGAGAACATAGATGTATTTAAAGCAACAGTCCCAGCAGGGTGGGCGTGGTCGGAAACGGCTGCAATCCCCTCGGCCGATTCCCACTTCGGAGCTGTTCAGCCCCTAGTCAAGAACGTAAGAAGTGTGACTGAACAAAACTCACCTTGGAAAGCCGCTAGGGAGGGAGCTGAAGTGGGCGTGGTCGGAATCGGCCGAGGGGTCGTTTCCGACCACGCCCACCCTGCTGGGACTGTTGCTTTAACGATCGTAAGTGACAATGAGAGGTGGTTCGTTTTGCCTCTATCCCAGACGAATACTTTCAGTACCTGCATAAGTGCTAGTCCAGATGAGAGGTGGATTAATTGATTGAAACCCGTATGCAATGTTAAATGAAAAAGACTCTTCGAGAAAGCTCTTTTACATAGCCATTTCACTTTTGCCTGGCACTACGTAGAAAAAAAACCTGACAGCACTAGGCTCTATAGCATGCTTGTAGGGGCCTCAACGTAACCTAATGGGGTGGTGGCATTTGAGTGCAGAATCTTTCACAGTTCTTACCTAAAGGTGGAGTTTACGATAAGGGAGCTCATTAGAATTGAGGTAGAGGTGGTCAGTGGTGAAGGGATGAGAAAAAAAACCATGAGAAACGGCCCAGAACCCGAGAAATGGACCCCTTCCTTGCCCGTTGATTTCCGCATTGATGCGACTCTCATCGGTGCTGCCCTCTTCAACGCTAACGCTCTCTCTGCTAAACGGCTAGAGACTGCGGCGAGTGGTTAGCCAGTCGGTGGGCGTGCCGCATCGTAAAATCCCTAGAGGCAGGTGGCACGATGAATTGCATGTCTGAGAGGTGCAAATGAGCCGACAGTAAACTAGAAGCTGGGGTCCGAGGAAACGATGGGCAGCGCACTCACAGCGAAGAAGGTGCTCATTTACCCATCCATTGATAATCGTACCCTTGCCCGCCTATCGAGTGGCTGGTCCAGCTGCTATGCAGTCGCTGTCGGACTTTAGCCATGTTAATAGAGAATCAGAACACAGCGTTTATAGAGAAGAGCCAGCAGTGATGAGAATCACCCAAAGCGCGAATCAACGGGGAAAACAATGGTCTTGTTTCGGGTTTTGAGGCATTAAAGTATTTTTCTTAGCAGCTCTACTTCATCTACAATGGGGACCAATTTAGTGCCACCTGTCCATTAAAATCGACTTGCTTATTTTTAGAGCGAGCAATAACTGCAACGCCCAACTTTTACCTCAACTTTCAGAACTATCGCTCTGGGGTGGCCTTGGTCCTACGGCATTACTAAGGACC